TATATATACATCTATATATATAAGTCATGGTTGAGTTTGTTGAGCCTCGCAGATAGCAGTTGGAAGGCAAAAATATTTTATTTCGCGTCACATGGTATATTCAAAACATTTTCTATCAATGGCGGAGCTCAAATTCGCACTCCAAAACTGTGTGCTTAAGTTTTTATCCGAGGGAAAGTGGCAAATAAATTTTCCTCTATTTTATTATATTTTAGGGAAAAGGGAAATCTTAGTAATTACAATTGGTTTATTAAATAGGTCGTGCGATTCCCCCAAGAAACAAAGGGAAAAATATCTTTACTTTTAATTATGCGTACTTGTGCCAAAAATAGATTTTAGAACAGGATGTGGCTTTTTAAAAGTATGAGAAAGTGTTTCGATTGGAATAATTAATTAGGATTTGCTTTACGGAAAAGAAATAACATAAAATGATTAACAGAAGCCTTTTATGTTACATCCCATATATATTAATAAGATAACGACCATTCAGACAACTGTTCAATTATTCATTTAAGATAAAATATCAGGCCGGATAGCCTGGTTTGCAGGGTGCTGGACTCGCATTCGTAAGAACGGGAGTTCGAATCCAGCCAGCCGAAGACTCTCTCTGTGTAGAGAATGGTGACTGGTGCACGTTAAAAATGTCGAGTCACTAAGTCCTTCATGCTCCCATGGGTCCACCTTATAAACGGCCTTAATGGCCTACGACAACAGCATCAGAAAAAAATATATATCACATTGCGTTGAGAAAAAAAAGTATGGTAAAGAACTACCAGAATATTATAAAATTTACCGTGTTTCTTTCTCTATGGAAATACCAAAAATCGGTCATTTTTGTCTATGAGCTTTGGTAATGGTTTTGATAAAAAATTTTAAAAAAATAGAGTTTTATAATGCGTGCTTAATTTAATAAATGTGGTAAAGTTAAGTAATTTTATCATGATACTTTAGATGTTATATGGTAAAAAAATCACTTATCCCATAAAATTTACTTTTCAGTAATTTGTTTGCAAAATGTTTGGTGATAAGAACTATCCAGAATAAGTACAATTGATAATAAGAACTACCTATTTGAAATCCAGAATTTCTGGTAAATCCTTCCATATAAATGTAGAAATTACCAACTGAATAGTTTAAATACTGTATATTTAGGATTTTACAACATGAATTATTTTTTTCATTAAAAAAATTTCATTACCATACGCACGGTAATTTTACCAGAATTTTCTCTCAGTTTACATTCTTTTCCATATCGATAAATATTTAATAAAAAAAATTAATCCATACAAAAAAACATTTTTTTTTCAATAACATTTTCCAATTCCATCATCTTTAGACTTGAAACTTGGGAAACACCCAAGAAGGGAAAAAATTATCACTAGGAAATAAATTCGAAATCTCTCATTGAAAGATCGAAACTTTCTTTTTATACTCTAAGGCTTTGAAAACTTCTAAGAAGGTCACGTTTTCTGGACTCTATTAATTAGAATTTTTCTTATTTTTTAAATAAAGAAAGGTACTGGGGAGGTAAGAAGCGGTACCATCCAAACCTGTTCCAATCACACCTCAGAAAGAAGTCCTGTCTCTGATTCAAATGCAGATTTCTCGTTTTAGCATGCATTTCCATTCTAATATCAACGAGTTTCTTAGACCTATTGTGTAGCATGCAGAATAAAACCCTTTTACAAAGGCATTGGATTCGACAGAACAGGGTTCGTTCTTTTATAAAACTAGTTTCTAATCTTGGAAAATGGTTTTTCGAATGCACTTCAGCAAGAATATGGATCAGGATTTTAGTGTAATTAAAATGAATACTATTTAGATGTAACTGTTATTAAATAGGCATAATTTATTATAAATTTAAAAATTATAAATTTACAATGATTTGCAAACTACTTTTTTGTATCTTTAGTGCGAAAATCTAAAACCATGTTTGTAAAATTTAACACGTTATTAGTTCTCTTTGTATTTTTTTTTCTACACCAAAATAGTATGGAGCAAGATTGCAATTCAACAATGCAACACAATCAAAACATCAAAATACCTTTATTTTTCTGATAAACATTTTTTTTTATTTCTTATGAGCTGCACAATCAGTCTTCCCGATAAGCAGACCTAGTGCGTTCTCCAGAAGTGGTATCCACTCTTTCAGGACCACCACAATGGGTGAGATACTGTTGGTCATTTTAATTTGGACGTCTAGTTTCTGCAACACTAGATGGCAGCACCGAGACTCTGTTTGGATGCTAAAGGGCACTAGGAATTTAATTTTGCCGGAAATGCCAAGAGCCAATAATGCACTCCAGGGATCTTTTACATGCCGCATAATCATACGACATGGCCGCTGAGGATTTTCTGCATCCCGAAAATCCGGTGTCTGGACCGGGGATCAAACTCGCAGACTTGGGCTCAGAAGACCGACGACAAACCAACTGTGCCACCCAGCCACTGCTGATAAACATATCATCTGAGATAACTTTTCTGGTGAAAGCATTCCAGAGCTAAAGGTATTAAAACAAATCAGTCAATTTTGAGGGGTATCATCTTATTCTTCACATTCAAAAGAAATTGATTTGACGTCGATCCCTACACTGTAAGAAATTACGGGTCAAATTACGGTAAAAAGTACCCGCACGCAAGGTGCCATTACTTTATAATTTTAGATCATAAAATCCATAACTGTAAAGTTTTACGGAATAAAATATCGGCTATACCGTAATTTTTCAGCACTGCAAAATACTTTAATCATTAAATAAATATTACGGTGAGCATTTCATTATAAAATTTTACGATTAAAATAGATTTTTGGATAAAATGGATTTTACGGTTGTTGCACTTAGGAGGGTGCCAGAATTTTTTGTCACAATTATTTTGAAGATTATTCACAGTTTAATATCAATACCTGCAGCTATATATCCAAGCGATTTTGCTGCAAAATTTAAAAATATTTTTTTAAACCATATTTCCCTTAACCACTTGCGTTGGAGAGACGTAATACGTACATAAAGATACTGTTTTGACTTTTTTTAAAATTTCAATAACAGATGGCGCCACTGGTACTGTTAATCAAGAAAGATTTTGTTTTGTTATTTTTTTCTTCCCTTTTTCAGTTTCAGTTTAGATTTAAGTCATTATGTTGGTAAGATGAGTAATTTTTTATGTTTGACAATATGGCCATTGAAATTTCAATTACTCATTTATAATTCAATGAAAAATATTTCTATGTTATCTNTTATAATTGTAGTTTCGATTTCAATTAAGAGAGCTAGATAAAAGTATTTTATATTGCTCTAGTTAATGCTGTTTTTTGTTTTTATTTTTCGGTCCGTCGATAAATCTTTGATCTTAAATCTTGTATTTTGTAATTATAATGGAAACTTTAAAGAAAAGACGTAGTATTTTGAAAGGTAAAGTAACGCGTATAAACAATATTCTGAAACCGAAATTTGTGTCTGGGGAAATAGAAAGAGCGGAATTAGATGTTTTTTCGGCTCAAATGAATGAAATATGGGTGGAGCTTAATGAGATTCATACGGAAATTATCGTTTTTTGCAAGAATGAGGAAGAGGCAAGCAGTATGAAAGAATTTGATGATTTGGCATCTAATATTGATACGTTGCGAATTAATATTGCGCGGGAAATGTCTGAATTGAAATCAAAAGTAAACAACACTAATAATGGCGGCGTTTCTCCAGATGAATCGAAACCGAAACTAAATTAATCTTGTTTAAAGTTACCCAAATTCGAGTTACCGAGTTTTTATGGAGATTTCAATAATTGGATGTCATTTAAAGAATTGTTTTTGAGTTCCATAGATAAAAGTCCAGAATTAACAGAACTTCAAAAATTTCAATATTTGTTTTGCTAGTTTAAAGGCTACTGCACACAAGCTTATTTCCAGATTTTCGCTCACAGATGAAAATTATAAACATGCTTGGCAGACTCTAGTTGCGAGATATGATAATAAACGTGAATTAGCGTTCGCGCAAATTTCAAAACTATTTAATTTAAAGACAATTAAGTCTAATTCTGCGGCTTCGATATTTGAAATTTTAGATACGTGTAATGAAGTTATTCGAATTCTTTCAACTTTAAAGTTAGAAGTTAATCCTATGGTAGATGTTATTTTAATATTTTTTATTTTGGGAAAACTAGATGATACACTAAGGCAAAGATGGGAATTATCTTTAACTAATCAAGATATTCCAACATTTTTAGAATTGGCTAAATTTCTTGAGCAACAAGCAAAAAGTATTTCAAATCAAACAGAATGCAAGCCAAGGGTTCTTCCTAAAAAGTCTCAAAACAGAAAATTTATGCAATATTTGTAATGAAAATCATTCGATTGTTAATTGCCCCATGTATAATAAGATGTCTGTTGATGACAGGTGGAAAGAAGTTATATCTAAAAAGTTGTGTATAAATTGTTTAAGAAAATTTCATATGGCAAATAAATGCCGTTTTACTAACACCTGTAAGGCATGTCATAGAAAACACCATACTTCATTGCATAGATTTTATTCTAATTCTGAAGAACCGAATGTAAGCAATACAGTTTGTTATTCTAACTCAAATTTAGATAATGCCAATTCTGAAAATGTTCCTACAGTGAGGGAAAACATTCAACTTAGCACAACTTGTCTAAATTCTAATAGTGTTGATAGTAATACTCTTTTGTCAACCACTCTGTTAAAGGTAAAAAATGTGGAGGGTAATTTAATTACATGCAGGGCATTGATTGATAATGGCTCTCAGAAATGCCTCATAAGTAAAAGGTGTGCAACTTTATTGGAATTAACAGAGACTGTCTCAAATAAATCAATATCTGCGATAAATAATACAATGATTGAGACAAATCTTAATGAAGTTATTTTAGAATTCAAACCTCATTTTAATGAAAACAAAGAATTTAATTGCACTGCACTAGTTGTAACCAAAGTCACAAGTGATTTGCCAAATTTTAAATTTGACTCTAGTTATTGGCCACACCTTCAAGGACTTAAACTTGCCGATCCTACATTTTTTATTGCAAGCCCAATTGACATTTTACTAGGTGCAGATATGTATGCCGAAATGCTATTAGGTCAACTTATTTCTGGAAAAAAGGGTACTCCAGTTGCCATAAATTCTCATTTGGGTTGGTTAGTGTCCGGAAGAATTTTTTCTGACGCTAAACACGAAAAGGATGTTGTGAACTGCCACCTAGTTGCTACTTTAGAAAGTCAATTGAAAGCTTTTTGGGAACTTGAATCAATTCCCCAAACTGAGGTGAGAACCAAAGATGATACTGTTTGCGAACGCTTTTATGATAGCACAGTCACTCGGAGTTCAGGTCGTTACACTGTAAGATTACCATTTAATAATTTTGGCAATTCTGCCTCACAAGCTCTTAAGAGATTTAATTACCTTGAAGCTAAATTAAGTAAAAACAATTCTCTTAGAGAACAATACTCGAAATTTATGCTAGAGTACCTTCAGTTAGGCCACATGGAACTTGTTCCCCCTGATGAGATTGACAAAGAGAAATCATTCTATCTCCCACATCATTTTGTCATAAATGAAGATAGTTCGACTACTAAACTAAGAGTAGTCTTTGATGCGTCCGCTAAAGACTCTAATGGAAATTCTCTTAATAGTGCACTGTTTTTAGGCCCTCGTTTGCAGCCAGAGCTTTTTTCAATTTTATTGAAATTTAGATATTTCAAAATAGCAATCAGCGGGGACATTGAGAAAATGTATCGCCAAATTCGAATGAACAATGAAGATAGCGATTTTCAGAGAATGTTTTGGAGATTTAACCCTGATGACGATTTACAAGTTTACAGATTGCTTACAGTGACTTATGGGACAGCCTGTGCTCCCTTTCTTGCTGTACGAACTTTAAAGCAATTAGCCAACGATGAAGAAGTTAGTTTTCCGGAGGCTTCAAAGGTATTACAGGATGAATTTTACATTGATGACCTACTCTCAGGTGCCGATTCTATTGCAGAAGCTAAACAACTTGCGACTGATCTCAATGCACTTCTTGAAAGAGGAGGATTTAACTTAAGGAAATGGGCTTCCAATTGTTCGGAAGTTTTTAACAATATTCCTGACCATGCTCTTGCTTGTCGAGACATTTTAATTAAAGAAACCCAGTCTCATAAGATTTTAGTACTGTTTTGGAATTTTAAGGAATATACATTTCAAGTTAAGATTTCACAGCCAGGTGAAGTTCTATCCAAAAGAAATCTCCTCTCAGTCATCACAAAGATTTATGACCCCCTAGGCTTCTTGTCTCCAACTACTATTGTTTTAAAAATAATGCTACAAAATCTTTGGAAAAATAAGTTGCCTTGGGATGAACCTATTCCCGAAGAAATAGATAAGACTTGGAAAATATTCCATTCGGAAATGGAGCAACTTAGAGACATAAAAATCAAACGAAGATTTAAAAAATCCTCAGAGACTGTATAACTTGTTTAAAGGTAAATGCTGTTTCTTCAAGCCAGCTCATGGCCGATTTGCCTCGTGACCGAGTTATTCCATCTAAACCTTTCCAACGTGTTGGGATGGACTTTGCAGGTCCAATTTCAACCAAACCAAATTTACCTAGATCTAAAGTCACTTTAAAGTCGTACATTGCACTTTTCATTTGTTTTGCTACGAAGGCTGTCCACTTGGAACTTGTCTCTGATTTGTCCACAGAAGCCTTCTTAGCATCCTTTCGTCGATTTATTGCTAGACGAGGGTTGCTATCTGATGTATACAGTGATAATGCCACAAATTTTAAAGAAGCCAGTAACTATTTGAAGTCTCTGTACAAAATTGTTCGAGACAATTCAGTTCAAGATTTTTCCAGCAATCTTCAAATATTTTGGCACTTTATTCCTCCTGCAACACCTCATTTTGGCGGACTCTGGGAGTCTAATATTTAATCAACCAAGAGACACCTGCTGAAAGTATGCGGCTCAGCTACACTGAATTTCGAAGAACTGACTACGCTCTTGTGTCAAATTGAGGCTTGCCTCAATTCACGACCGTTGTTACGTTTTGAAATAAGAATTGGATAGGTTTTGTATAATGGAGAGTTGGGTGAAAGCGTTTTTTTTTTTGTCTCCAAATAACTTCTGACTTATACAATGGAACTCGAGTTTATGCTTAGAAATATGTTGAAATTTTGTATTTTCTTTTAAGAATTTTTGTTTAATAAAATTTAGGAGTGGAGGAAATGGGGTACATTTCCTGCCGTACTCAACAACCGTTATGTCCATTAACCTCAGAAATAAGTGATCTAGAGGCTCTTACCCCTGGACATTTTATTGTGGGTGCTCCACTTCTTTCATTGCCTGAGAGACCCATCACCATCCATGCGTCTCAAGTCTAGATGGTCTTTAATTCAAAAACTTAGTGCTCAATTTTGGATCAAATGGAGTAAAGATTATCTCCAAACTCTACAAGCAAAGTCTAAATGGACTGTTTCTGGCTCAGAGTTTAATGTTGGAGATTTAGTTCTTCTCAAAAATGACAATGTCCCACCTCCATTAAAGTGGACTCTTGCACGAGTTGTGCAAGTATTTCCTGGAAACGATGGTATTATTAGGATTGTTAAATTAAGAACAGCTCATGGAGAAATCACCAGGCCTATCTGTAAAATATGTCCATTGATGAAAAAATGACATTTCCTCCTCCTTGGGTGGCAGGATGTCTTGACTTTTTTATAATTTCAATAACAGATGGTGCCACTGGTACTGTTAATCAAGAAAGATTTTGTTTTGTTATTTTTTTCTTCCCTTTTTCAGTTTCAGTTTAGATTTAAGTCATTATGTTGGTAAGATGAGTAATTTTTTACGTTTGGCAATATGGCCATTGAAATTTCAATTACTCATTTATAATTCAATGAAAAATATTTCTATGTTATTTACAAATCATGCTCTGTTAAATCAATCAAAGAAATAAAAGTAAATGTCCGGTAAGATTTTGAAAACTTATTTGATGTGCTAAGTTGTCATTAATTTCATTTTCCCACATTGTATTAGTTTCTATAAATTTAATGATATTCTACCTAATTTTTATGATTTTTCCATTATATAAGTTTATGATTTATTTAAGGTTCATACCAGATACTTTTGTCTCAAAATCACCAACGATATGCTGTAAAAGCCACCTGACAATTATTGCAGAAATAAAAAATAAACTAAAAACCATCATGGTTCAAATCATAGAAATAGAAATGGAATAGTTCGAATTTCTATGAAGTATTGAACATTTAGTACTTTGCAGAAGTTTAATCATTAATACATATTATCAAATTTGAAATTGTCGAAGACTACACTACAACTTTGCGATTGATAAGTTTTCAACAAATTTTCATGATTTCGCGGTTCAACTTGCGATTAAATTATTATAAATTATTATTATTAAATTAAATTATTATTGTTCTAACAACATAAATAATGTAAATAATTACCCACTAATGATTGAAATGATATAAAAATACATTTTCTTCTACATTACATTGCACTTCGAATGCAGTAAAAGTTCGATGCAACAAGTACGGCAGGCCGGGATACCCTTGTTGGTAGGGCATTGGGCCCATGTTCAACGGTTCGTAAATTCGATTCCCACCTTCTGCAGATTCCGCGAACAATAAATGGCGACTGCAGCACATTAAATCTGTCGGGTCACAAAATCCACCATGTTCTCATAACAAATCATACTTCTGGGGGTAATGAATTCGCGATTGATCGTTCTTTAGTTCAGGTCAAAATTACGATCCACGGATGAATGAATGGATATATGAATGGGTCCGACCTATAAACAGGCTGTGAGGTGTGTGTGGTGATGAATTCGCAGTCTTGGCTATGGATGGCGCCACTGAAAACCAAAAACCCACTCTCTGCCCTAAGTTCGCTTGGTTTTTTTTAAGCAGGCTTGCTGTCATTGGCAACTGCCATTAGAAACAACAACACAGTTCACACTCACCTCAAAATGCTAATATTAGCAAAACAATAAGTGAGTTAAAAAGATTTTTTCTGTTGTTTCAAGTTAGAAATATTTTACGAAAAAGCTCAAAGTGTATGTGGAAAATATTTTAAATGTTTTCTGGTATAAATACAGACGAATATCATTTCACCTTATTTCTTTTTTAGACTTAATCCTTAATGTTTCTAAAGCAACATTTTTGAGAAACCATCGGCCAAACTATCAGTTACCTTAAAAATAGAAATTCATCTGCTCCTTTTAAGAATTTTTTGCTCATTTAAAGCGGATCAGCCTTCGGTTCACCACGTATCGACCATACTGATTTGTCTCCATTTTTGAACCTCTCTTTTGAAATCAATATTCAATGTTTTTGATGATTCCAAAAAGTATTGCATTTAATTTTGCATTTTCTCTTGAATTCTCGCAAAATTCACAGGGATCTACACCTGTACACTGCAAAGAATTTTGGAGTAAAGTTGCCACCATTTTTGATGTTGAGGTATACTTAAAATTTTTCTGAGCATGTAGTTACATTTTTTTTTCATTTCTTGTATGTTTGTTTAATGGCAACGCATATTTTCGCGCACATTATAAACAATTTAAGCTTAGTTGTGAGAAATTTCCCATACAAAAAAGTAAGATGTTTATGAGGTTATTTTGAGGTTGTCAAAAATAAAAAAATACCCCTGAGATAGAAAATGCGGTTATGTTTTGCTCCAAAAATAACCTCATTTATAAAACTCAATTTCAACTTCATTTACACATCTTAAAATCATCCTTACATATAACTCAGCAATATTTTCAGTTGAAATTGGGTGAAATTAATCACACCTCAAGTATACTTTGCTTGAAGTGTATAAAAATAGCCTGAACACCTCAAAAATAACCTCTCTAAGCTGGTTGCTCTAAATTAGATTTCCAACAACCTCAAGTTTGAATACAGCAACTTCATACACCTTGATTACACATCTTGAGAGCTTGATCTTTTAAGGTTTTTGAAATCAACTTCAAATTAATCTTATATCAAACTTGACGCATCAAAACAACCTCTGATAAACCTCACAAACACCTCAAATTTTTGTAAGGTTCCGTTTAAACACAGGCACGTTTTTGTAAGTTTCCGGTTAAAAACAGGCACGTTTTTAGGAATATATTCTAGCTAACTCTTTCAAAAAAATTGTTATTTTGATTATCTTATGTAATTTTTGAGCGATAACTGCTATTTTATACTTAAAAATGTATTTAGTATCTATGCTCTAACAAGTAGTATTTTGAATCAAAATCGCTGCACAAAATAAAGGTTAAAAAAGGAATTTAATCTATTTAATTTTAGTCCTTTTCATTGTTATTTTCATTAATATTCTACATTAATTATGTGTATTTTATAAAATGAATAAACTCACCCCAATGATAATTTCCTGTTATATTGGGAATTGGCGTTATGGAAGAATTTTACTGTGCTTACTTATCTCGAATGCAATTTAAATAACATACATTTTATTCTATGTGTAATGTGTTATATTTTTTCTGATATTCGTTACTTTAAACTGAAATGACACTTTAAAATGTCAGACTTTAGATTACGTCAAATAAGACTGAGATAAGCGTTATAATGGGATGTGAAATAATATGCACTAAGTTGCCATTCTAAAAAAAAATTAATTTTAAGAATGAAATCGGAATTTTCCTCATTTAATTTTCTCCACAATTTCAGCAGCTGTTTTATAACGTGCATGCTTTACATCTCGCTTTTAGCCAATATCATTTAATTAATATATTTTTAAATAACCTCAAAATGTAATAATTTTCAAAAAATCAAAACTAAAAAGAGCTAGTTAAAAAAATAGCGAATTAAATAAGAAGTAATCTTTCTTAATTTACTAATAAAAATGACTAAATGTCTTCTTTAATATTATAATTAATTCAAAGTTAAAATAAACTAGCTCAAATAGTTATAGATTATCTTATTAAATATAAATATTACTAAATAACTCATTCATTAAATATATTACGATATTTTTTAGTTTAATTATTTTTCATAAAAATAATACAAAACATGAGACTGGGTAAAATTGATAAACAACAGTGAAACTAAGAAGTATAATTTGCATATATAATGCACACTACTTCAACAAGCATAAATAATAATGAATTATTAATAATAAGAATTGACATTAAATAAAGCTTAAAACTAATTAAATTCTAATTTTCAAACAAGGCCTTAAAATGTTACAATAGCAATACAATTTGTTTATAAGTTTAAGTATTTCCTTTATATTACAAACAATTGAGCCTACATTCCAAGATTTCTTAATTAAAGTAAATAAATAATTCATGAAATAATCATTAAAATACTTGCTTTAAGATATTATTTATTAATAAAAATTTTAACAGAGAATTATGAAACATTTTCAATATGTGAGTGTTTTAGTATTCAATTTATTAATATTTTAATAAGTCTTTTCAAAAGCATAGAAGGGAATTATGTTAAAAATGCTATGTTAACTCATTATAAAAAGTTGAAAAAGTTTTATCTATTTTTCATTAACTTACTTCTTCCGGCACAAACACGCTTTAGTTTTATCTTTTCGAATTCCTTTACTTTATTTCCTTTTATTTAATTAGTTTTAAATTGTTTTAAATATAGCTTTCCATGGTTTGAAAAAAAATAGTCTACACTGTTTTTAGATTGAATGCGGATATTTGTTCTCAGCACTCCTTTCCAATTGAAAATATTTATTTCTTATTTAATTTAATGGAACAAAAATGACAATTTTATATTTTTAAATGTTAATATTTATAAAAAAACGGACCTTCCTGATTTGCAGTTGCATAATATGCTCACAATTCTGTTTTCAATTAGAAGTAGTAAGAAATAAATATTCTTATATTCTAAATAAAAAAGTTTTCATTTTTAACACTAGTCAAACTATTTATTTATTATTTAGTCACG